CTAGATAACCCTGCATATAAATATCCAGGATTATATTTTTGGCATGAAATATTCTTTTAGAACCATTAGTTGGTAGAAGGAAGAGGTGATGGAAACATTCTTGATCCTACTTGCCTTTTAACAGAGAAGGCTAAGGGATAATGCCCTCTCAAATTGCAAATTACTGCAGAGAGGGGATGGGAAATTTGAAATGCAAGGAAAGAAGTAGATTACCCTGAGGGGGTAATGTTATATTACCTCAAAACTGATATGGCGGCAATGTTTCAAGGTAATGTGATTACCCCCATTTTCTTAGATAATATTAGATTACCTAGAATTATTACAACTTTGCCCTTGTTAACTAATCATTATATAATAATAATAATAATAATAATAATAATAATAATAATAAATAAATATATGTTTATATAATCAAATATACATGTGTGTATATTTATATATTTAGTTTTTTAATATTTAAGCACGCACACACACACACACACACACACACACACACACACACACATATATATATATATATATATATTATTGAGAACATTATAATAAATTGATCCATATAACCTAAAATATAAGTATATAACCCTTAACCAAACAAGGTAATATTATATTTCACAATCCAAACCAAACACATAAGGTAATCTTACATTCCCAAAATCTCACATTACCTTCCTGGAGATAATCCTATTACCTAGGGTAATCCAAGATTCAGTGAACCAAACGCCCCTTAGAGTAAAGGTAAGTCATTGGATATGAAGGGATGTGAAAGATGTCAGAAATGTAGACAAAGGGTTATATATAACTACCTATAACCACACTACTATAAAATTAGTCAAAAAGGTGTCAATAATTTCATTTAGAAAAGGCACAAGAATGAATGGTCATCAGTGTCAAGATCAACAGTTATCAAGTTCTGCATATATAGTGTTTCTACATAATAGCAAAACACATTCAAGCAAGAAAAATGACTGTACTAACAGCTACAGGACTTAAGTAGAAGTATAAGCTAGAAAACAAAACAATATATATATCAGAAAAGTTGTGCCTAAATCTCAAGTCCAGTCCCCGGTCAACAAGTTCAGCACAAAATGGCATCCATTTTTTGCAGCCTCTTCTATTTGCTTCTGAACCATCCCTACTTTAGTTTTCCCCCTTTTGAGGGTACAGAGTAAGCTTTGAACCATACTTCTAAGATGCTAGTGCAATATCCAACAGCTAGAAAAGAAACCTAGAATAGCTAACCTCAGCCAGCATATGTAAGTAGTGTAAATAAAATGATGCCAAGGAAGAAGAGTCATAATTAGATATAGGGAAAGAAATGCAAACACACCTGGGTGGGCGAATGACGAAATTGATGAACTGTTCAATCATCTCACCGGAATTTCAACAAACGGACACGTGGGATCAATCCTCTCCCATCCCCAACCCAACCCAACCCCAGAGGATGGAAAACGCAAATAATGCCCTAACTACCAAAGCTAATCGACAGCTAAAAGTAAACTAACTCAAAACGCCATCTTTATGTCATAGTGCCCTTGTGCTTGGGGCTTCAAAATGCCCCTTCAATAAGACGCTCCAGATCCGCTTGAAATTAGGGAATTCGAAGAATTTCACTTCAAGCAGTTGGCAAAGACTCCAACATTATCGCATTCCTCCCAAGGTAACAAAGATTTTCTCCAGCTCTGAGTCTGAGGGTCGTGCACAGATTTGGGAATGTCAAACTTAGTAAAACAAGGAAGAAAAATCAAGGGATAAACCTGGGTGAGGAAAAAAGCGCAAGTAGTGAAGATGCTTTGGTGATAGTTATGAGCTGAGGTGAGATCGCCATTATTGGGGTGTTAAAAGCTAACTAACGATGAAAAGAGGCGGCCGGAGTGCCTTTCACGTGTACCGCCATTATTACAGCTCCCAGAAAAATGTGTACTAAATAAAAGTCAAAATCCAAGCATCCACCTCACTCACTTCATTGACTCATTCTATGTTTGGTCCTTTGCAAATTACAATTGCTATCTATACATTGCTTTGCTGCGCCTACTTTTATTTTTGGAAAAACTGTAATTAATCTAAAAGCATTCGCATCTATGATTTTTTTAAAATAACTTATTTTTGTATAGATAGAGGAGAGCATGGTTGAAAAAAATTTAGGCGCTCCTCAAACACTCAGAGAGTGCCTAGCGCCCAAGTGTTCATGTATTTATTTATTTAAAATTTGTAAATTTTTAAGACTTGTAATTATAAATTATTTAATATTTTAATAGTTAATATTAAAATATTAAATATTAACCTAAAAACATCTAAAGTTTGAGCAATTTAAGGTTATTTCGCTCAAAACGATTGTTGTTTTGAGTGAAATAATCAATTTAAAAAAGAAATGAATAATAGCTAATCAACAGATTAGGCGACCTAGTCGGCCCTTAGGCTGCCTAGTCAGTGCCTAAGAGACATAGTCGGTGCCTAGAAGGCCTAGGCGGTCAGCGCTTAGGCGTCCTAGGCGGCACTTAGACGGCCTAGTCGGCCGCCTAACCGGCCAGTCGCCTAGACTATCGATTATGGTGATACGCTAGGCAATTGACCAGTGCCTAACGCCTAGGCGGGATTTTTGCAACACTGGAGGAGAGAGAGAACAAAAATTTATTGCAAGTGATGATTTTTTGTGGGATCCACTATCTCACAAAAAATTGTCTGTTTCGTGCGCGTGGCAAGTCTAGTACGCACACAGTGCATGCACCAACTGAGCACGTTAGAGAAAGTTTCATTTTTTTCCCCTGCTCTCCCATTTTCTCTTTTCTAACCATTCTTACAAAAACCTATTAAAATAGGCAACTGATATTGTTGCTCTTAATGGATAATACAATTAAGCCTCTTAATTATTGCAAAAAAATTAATAAAGTATTTTAGATAAATAGTAAATTTAGGCAGGGGGCGTGAAATTTGTATGTGATATCCATATAAATTCTTCCAAAAGGCTGAACCCCAACCTTAAGGGCCCCTACACCCCGACCTGACAGAGCATTTGGGAGGATGTAAATCTTGGTAATTCAACATGAACCACAGAGGCTAGACCGGTGCTCACTGCGCACAAGAAACCCCCTCACTTTGAGAGGTTGCTCCCACACTGCCGTTGGTGAGTGATATCCATATAAATTGTCTCTAATGATGGTGGTTGGAGACTGAAGTGTGGCTAAGTATGGGAGAAATTTATTCAATTGTTATCCACCCCATACCAAGGCTATACCTTATCTAACCTGTCGGCAATTGGTATATATAAACCTGGGTGCACCACAATTGATGTGTGTTCATTATGAATAAATATTAATAAACTTTATTCGCAACTGGAATGAACTACTTATTGGATACGTATTACGTAAGGAAGATGATGGAGACATTTCATGATTTGCTCCACAAATCTCAAATCAATAAGATAAGAAAATCGTACTTGCCCATGTAATCGCAGCAGTCAAGTCATTCTGATATTCTTACCTAACTAATAATACAACTTGATTAACCCAAATCAACAACTAGTTGTCCCAACTTTCAGTCCAATTTTTTTTTTTTTTTTTAATTTCTCATTTATGGGAAAAAATAGTAAATTATTAGCATTTGTATAGCTCCACTTTTGTCTAAAATAAGGAATTGGCATTGAGATTTGAGATGGTGCTATTATTCCTGCAATGGCAAAATTGCCAGACACAACATCAACCTAAAAAATAACCAACCAACCAATCAACATTATTCAGCCTGAATTTAGTCCTCTCATGATTCTCATTAACAATATCGATTACAGCGTCGCAATGTGATTATGGCATCTTAGATTTCCATCTTATGCGTACCCACTACCCAGTGGCAATTGCCAAAAGACTTCAGAGATTAAATGCGCAAGACAAAAAGAAATCTGTGAAAGAATCTGCCACCAGAGAATCTATACATGATTGCCAAAACAGTTCCATCCACCATTTTCTTGGTTCTGAATCATTATGATTTATGCCCTGCAGCTACATCATATTAGGCAGTTTCAGTAGCTCCACACTCCCATCACCTTCAACAACCTAAATCAACCTTGGAGAATCCTCATTTGGCGTATCCCGTTGATGCAAGACATCAGTTATTGTAGACATGGTTGTGACTTAAAAAAACATCAATGAGTGCTGAACAACGAAGTTCCATCTCATTCTCTTCCCTTCCTCGGTTCGTCCAATAACAATGTTGCAGAAGTTAAGAAGTTCATGGCTGGTACATTTAGAGACTAGGATCTCGTACAGTATAGAACTATACATCAATATCTGGCTTCACTATGCCCTGGAGCTCCCAACCGCCAAGTCCAGCTAGAGAAAACGTCTGACAATGGAAGGAAGATAACATGTCATACAAACTAAACTAATCCATCAAACAGAACAGGGAATCTTCAAAATTTGTCATCTCAAGTCAGGAGTCATGTCCAATTACCTTCACTGTTTAATCAAGAAATTAGAATTGCACACAACTTTTTATTTTAGATGATAAATGGAAATGGACCTAAGGGCATAAAGTACCATTTGCTTTAACCATTAGAGATTTTACCAATGCTGCTCTAAAGTATTGTCAAAGCACCCCGTTCTCACTAAGTCATCATAACAAATGTTAGGATAAAATTATTCTTCTTGTGTTCATGGAGAAGATAATGGTCCTTAATGCTTGGCATAGTTTCATAGTGTAATTAAAATAAATAAATATAGGAATGCAAGTGCTCCTTAGAATGCAGAAGTGTAGAGATTGGCTCACCTCTTCCCATGACTTCCCAGTTGCTTCAAGCAAAGCAGCATTACAAGTCTTCAGCTCTATAGGAGCCCCTGAAAACATGGAAGCCGCCTCCTCCCATCCCCTATTATGCCCCATACACCTGGAAAGTTATCTTTCAAATCAATAATCATAATAGATTCTTAAATAATAATAATTAATAATAACAACAACAACAATAATAATAATAATAATTATTATTATTATTATTAGTATTATCTGCTTAAATATATTACTAACAGTATAGCAAGATAAGCCCATTTCAAATTGTAAAGAAATTTGTTTCATATTGTTTGCATATAGAAACAAAGATTGAGATAAATTGATTGAAGAACAGAGACTCCTAATGTGTAGAAACAAATTTAATCCAATTCCAAATTAACTCTCATCTTTGACATCCAACTTCTGGAACCATAAATCTTCAATGAAAAGGAAAATAAACCCAAAAAAAAAAAAAAAAAAGGAAAGAAAACGCATTGAGATCTGAAATAAAATCTATAAATAGTGATGCACCTTACAAATTCAGTGTTTAACTTGATAACCAATTGTGTGTGTGTGTTTGTACATGTACATATCGAAAAGCTCTTTAGTCAGCTTTATGTACATAATAATAAGACTATGCATAGTGTTAGAGGGTATTGAGGGAGGTTGAGAGAATAGCTCTCAACTACTTATTTTGAATTTGAAATGAGTGGTTGAGAGCTTGGTTAGTCTTACTACTAGCTTGTATATATAATTGTCTTGTACAATTCCTTTTCATCAGTTCAACATACACAGTCCATATTCTACATGGTATCAGAGCCTGGGCTGGAGTGTGAGGTACTGGGCTAAGGTCGGAAAGGTGGGTCGATGCCAGAGGAGGAATCGCGCAGCCATCGGAGCCTCTATGCTCCTTCACGTGCCGCTGTCTCCGAGGATCTTGGACGCCAAGCGCTCCACGCACCGGCGCATGAGTGTTTTTCCGGCAACTTCATTGCATTGATAGAGAGTGTAAAGTCTGATGATAAAGTGTTGTTAAGTTGTTAATTTGTTATCTCGAATAGTTACTTGCATTGATAGGAAAATCATATTGTCCATGAAGCATTGTAAGACTGTGAAAGAAGTGTGGGGTTTGGTGGATACATGGTTTAATGTGCTCGCCTCGCCTAAGTGCAGAGTACAACCCAAAACTCCACAAAACATACATGGGCTGAACCTACACACTAAGGCGAGTTTACCAGTGTAATTTTCAGCCGGAGAAGTCGGCGGAATATGCCTCACGCGCCGGCGCGTGGCGTCGGAGCAGCGGCGGCGCAGTTAAAGCTCCGGCGTTGTCCTCCTGTTCCGAGCAAAGCCCACTACCTCACTCTGGCATGTTATCAATAAATACTAGACTTCTCACCACCCTAGGAAAAACTATTCATCTTCTCAAGACAACTTGAAGTAAATAGGGTTATGAAAAGGCTTCCCAAGACAAGATATTTTCAATATACAATAAATACTTGACTTCTCACTATCCTAGGAAAAACTATTCATCTACTTCAAGTAAATAGGCCAGCAAAAAGGCTGCCCAAGACAAGATATTTTCAATATATATACTTTTTATTTATTTAATACTCATTGCCTAGTCATCGCCTAGGCGGTCGCTAGTCAACTAGTCGACTAGGCAGTCGGTGGCATCTCGCCTAGAAAGTCCGCCTTGATAACCTTGGTTACAATATTGAGGGATCCATGGCATTTGGGCAATCAATGTACAAAACTGTTCAAGCAACAAAGGTTTGGTAGTACTGTTGCAAAATCAAAAGGGCATTGGTGGTTATGACTGATGAAGAGTTAGCTATGTTCAATCAAATGAAGATTTCTTCTTCCTTGCAACCTCCATTCAGTCAGGAGACTTTGCCATCTACGTCAGCCACGTTGTCCAAACAGGTAACCCTACTGCATGTGTTTCTTCCTCATCTCGACAATGGGTTATTGACTCAGGAGCTAGTGACCATATGTCGGGTAATCCGAGTCTCTTTTCCACATCTTTTCCCTTTAATCATGGTACTGCAGTTACCTTAGCAGAGTAGCAGATGGTTATACTATGCCTGTCTTGGGTAAAGGTAGTGCTTGTCCAACTCAGTCATTACCTTTGTCTTCTGTGTCCTTTCAATCTACTGTCTATAAGCCAAATTACCCGAACCTTAAATTGTTGTGTTTCATTTTCTCTCAGGTATTGTTTATTTCAAGATCTTTTGATGAAGAAACTATCGGTAAAGGAAGATAGACTGGTAGGTTGTATGTGTTGGAACAATTTTCCCCTAATGTTGAAGTTGCCACGGTTGGGCAATTGGGTAGTATATCTCCTCTTCAGTTACATTGTCGGTATGGTCACCCATATCTGTCAACATTGATGAAGAAACGGTGTCCGGATTAGAGTCGTTAAAAGGCTTACAGTGTGAATATCTTGTGAGCTCATGAAACATCATCGCGTGCCCTATCCTCCTGAGTCAATAACAGGGCAGAGTATTTATTTCAATTAATTCATTCTAATGCTTTTAGTCGATTGTCATTTTGTGTGAGAAAAGGTGCAGCAAGGGTTGATTTGTGTTGGACATATCCAGAGTGGTGATCAACTAACGGATGTGTTCACAAAAGGGCTTGGAAGGAGTAGGGTCGAGCACATTTGTAACAAGCTGGGCATGGTCAATATCTATGCTCCAGCTTGAAGGGGAGTCTTAAAGGATATTGAGGGAGGTTAAGAGAATAGCTTTACTACTCATTTTGAATTTGAAATGAGTAGTTGAGAGCTTGGTTAGTCCTACAACTAGCTTGTATAAGTAGTTGTCTTGTGCAATTCCTTTTCATCAGTTCAACATACACAGTTCATATTCTACCATATCTTTAGTTCTATATTCAAAGCCATGTTTGATTAGAAGGTAAAAACATAATTTTCTTTAACTGGTGGCCTTCTCACCCAGGGAAAGGGCAAAGTATGAAATCAGCTTTCTAAAAGGACCTTGATATTCCACTGCAAAAGGATAAACTAATTCCACAGGGATCAACCTTCCTATGCTATCCAAGTAAATATAATTAATAAATGGCCCTACTGAATTCAAAATCTCTTTATCTCTTATCTGGCTGCTTGTTTTAGTAGAAGACTTTTCAATTGCAATTGGGCAATTCACAAATGGAAGTTGTTTTATGCAGCCTCCTTCTACTTGGAGACAGCCTTTAATTTATAGTGCTTTACTCCTTGGGTTCTTAACCCCACCCTCCTTCCTGAATTCCTTTCTTTCACTCCCTTTGTCAATAAAATGCTTATTAAAAAGAAATATATAATATAGCTTTGTAGTAATTCCAGGAGCTATACACATGCCTTACAGCAAGGCTTCCTCTATAGAAGTCTACCCTGGATTATGGATTATGAGATTGAAGGATGTTGAATTTGTTATCTTTTATCAATAATCCAAATATTTGAGAATTTTAAATTCTTATTCCCACTTCTTAACAAATGAGTGAATTTTCAAATACTTAAAATTAGTGGGTTACAAACCAAATCCACGGTCCAAAGAGACCCTAGTGTTATTGTCCTTGCTTAGTGGATTTGCAGAGTTGATTAACTATTTAACTGTATGTATAAGCATCTAGTGAAATTGCAGTAACATACAGGCAAGTTGTAAATTTTGATGACAGATATGTGATGCTCTTTTACTACAGCATATTGAAACAAACAAGAGGTTTTTACCGTAGGAGAACTCACATGACAGTAAGTATATCATCCTTAGAGTATTTACAGATTGCTTGCCTAAGATGCTCAGCCGTCTGCCCATCCATTGCTGCAACAGAATAAAAGCTTGAGAGGAAATGTACCTCAGCTTCCAAAAATGCTGGCACCTGCTCCTGCATAATTTTCAGTGTTTCCCGAGTTCGAACTGCATCACTATAGCAATGTGCACACTATTAGAAAACATTAAAAAGTAAAAAGAAAAAAAAAAGGTTTTTATTACAGAACACAGCTTATAGATCACCATACAGCAATTATATCATTTCCAAAGAATCCAATTATTCTTAGGGGGCACAGACCTGCATAATATAAGCCCTGGAATCCAACCTAATTGCCAGAGCTCATGAGAAACTCTGGCAGCAGCAAGTTGTCCAGATTTGCTCAACGGACGATCATGGTCTATGAACAGAAATGATAGATTATAAAGCAGAAAGAAACAATGGATCCACTACAATTTGCTTTTCAATGGGCTTGCAAGTAGAGACATGTACATTAATTGATGTAGAATCTTGTAGGCATTTTACTAAACTGAATGCTCTAGAGTTTGAAAATAGGGGTGGCATGTGCATCATATACTTTACCATCCTCAAGTGGTTTTTTAAAGGCGTAGTGCATGGCAATCAAAGAACAAAGCAATGCTGGTGCAGTGCATATATGTACATCTCCTAAGTTTATTAATTACACACACACACACACACACACACACACACACACACATATATATATATATATATATATATATATATATATATATATATATATATATATATATATATATATATATTATTGTTAAGGACATATTAGTCTTTATATTCATAATTCCTTAGGATTCCAAACCCAACCAAACAATGGAATTTATGTTTCAAAGTAATTTCTTTTCCACCAACCATGGAATCTATTTTCCTGGTAATTTGTTTTCCAATGAAATTTTCCATTTTCCTTCAAATATTTTCCAGCGAACCAAACGGGCTATAAGAGTTTGATACCATATATTGTAAAATGAGGACTAAGGAAAATTCTATTTCTATTTGGTACCAAGAATAGTAATCTGGATTGCAATATGCGGAGTAAGACGGAGAAATCGAAATCGTTACAAAAGGATAAGGCTTAATTAGGCAAGGTACCTCTGAGGGAACGGTCTTCCCAGGAACTGTGTGCGTGGCGGAGCAAAATGAGGCGGCGTGGTAGAAACTGCGCCGAATCAGAAGCCGGAGTTTGCGTTTCCGGCGAAGCTTGCTGGAGTTGAACGCTGCCGGTGTCGATGACCATAGAAGCCGCGGCGGCGATCGCCAGCCGCTTGTGTTTGCGGTGGCTCTCTCGGCTCCGACGAGAGGGCAACGAAGTCCTCCGACGGTTACGGTTCACAGCAGACAAAGTCGTTGTAGTCCAACAAGAATTACAAGGGAGGAGGTGCAGTGACTCACCAAGCATTGCTGATTGCTCCCTTCTTGCTCAAGCTTCCCTGAAAATTGCTCCCTCAATCCACAATTTCCCTCTATCTGTGGAGAATCTTGTTGAAAACAGATGGTTATATCTCAATGGAATGAGAGAAATTTTTTACAGTGCGAGGGAGAGAGGGATAGAGCTCGCCTGAATTGACGGTCGCGCGTTATCTGTTCTGTAGTGGCCGGACTCTCAGCGCACCCACACGTGTCCAATACTGAATCCTTGGACATCCACACTATATATATATAAAAGGAATATTTGTGGGGTCACTCACTTCCTATTATCATTTACTCTCCAAATTAATTCTTGAGATATAGACCTTGCTTAGTAATCAACGGATTGAGATGAACGAGTTTAATGAATACATTATATTAATGATTTATAAAAAAAAAAAATTGATAAAACTAAATTTTTATTATTAACATAGCTTTAAACACATATAAAAATATTGCTACAATAATAATATATTATTATTATTATTAAAAAAAATACAATACAAGGCCCCTCAATATTCTACTTCTCATTCGATATTATCCCTCATCGAATATAATGTACAATAGAGCCAAAAATTTCCTCAATAAATGAAAATACTTGATGTAAAGAAAATATACTTCAATTTAATATATATATATATATATATATATATATATATATATTAAGGGCATTTTGGAAAAATACATTTCCTTTTTCAAAATGTCAAACCCCAAACGTTGATATTTGCATCGTTTGGAGTTTTAGCGGTCCAGAACAAAAATATTACTATGAACTGTTGACTGTCAAACAATTATTTTGATGAATCTACTATTTATCAAACAATGTCTTAGTTTAAAATCTATAGTATGTTTATCAATTTTTATAAAGTGTACCTTAAGTACAATGTTTATCAAAATTTCTAGTATGTTTATAAATTCATGCATCTTAAGTTTTAAATTTATGCACCTTAAGTTTTAAATTTATGCACCTAGAGTTCGTAAGTCGATTTGGATAAGGAATCAAAGTTGTGCACCTTAATGGGGCGTTTGGTCAAGGTAATCTGAGTCGGTAATGTTATACTATCTTGTCTGGTTCAAGTTATGAGATTACCTTATAGTATTATATTGGCCCTGTTTGGTAAAATGGTTGTTAGCTGATAGCTGTTTGCTGTTAGCTGATTGTGTTAATTAGATGGTATAAATAGTTGATAACATTAGCTGATTGTAGAAAAGTGTTTGGTAAATTAGCTGTTAGCTGATAGCTGTTTGGTATAATTTCTTTTCTCAAAAAGCTAATTGAAAAAGTTGCTAGGAGTAGCTTTTTAAATTTTAGCCTTTTGGAGTTGCAAAAAGCTAATTAACCAAACATCTATATTGATATTTTAACTAAATCAAACAATTAATAGTGGTCAAATAAGCCAAAATTGGCCTATAGGCCAATTTTTTACCAAACAGGGCCATTATCTCAAAGCTGATGTGGCGGTAATGTTTCAAGGTAATGTGATTATCTCCATTTTCTTAAGTAATCTTAGATTATCTTGAATTATTGCAATTTTGCCCTTGTTTGAATTATTCAAATTATGTCATTGTTAACTAATTTTTATATAATAAAATAATAATAATAATAATAATAATTAACAAACAAACACACAAATATATATATATATATATATATATATATATATATATATATATATATATATATATATATATTATTTACATTTAGGTCAAATGTAAGGTACTTGATTTTTGTGAGTAATGTGCGTGAGTTTTGTATATAAGGTACGTGAGTTTGTGCTTAAGGTGCGTAAGATTTGTGTTTAAGGTGCGTGGGTTGTGTACTTAACGGTAGTAGTTGTTGAAACTTAAAGTGCGTGAGTTTTGTGCTTAAGGTGCGTGGGTTTGTGCTTAATGTGAGTAGTTGCTGAAACTTAGGTGCGTGAGTTTCCTTTTTAATGTGCATTTTTTTCATCTTAAGGTGCGTGATTTGTATGCTTAAGGTGCGGCAGTTATGTGAAACTTAAATTGAACCATTTTTAAAACCTTAGGCGCGTGATTTGTGTTCTTAAGGTGCTTTGTTATGTGTTTAAGGTGCGTGGTTGGCATTCTTAAGGTGCGTGGTTGGTGTTCTTAAGGTGCGTGATTTGTGTTCTTAAGGTGTTTTATTTGTGTGCTTAATGTGCGTGTGATGTGTACTTAAAGTGCGTCCAACCGGCAACCGCACGAGAAGTTATTCCGCACCTGATCCCTTACCTATGTTTATATATATAAATATACATATATGTATATTTATATATTTATTTTTTTAATATTTAAGCATTGATATACATTCAAACATATAAATAAATAAATACACATACACATACACATACACACCGGCGGAGCCAGGATTTTTCTTCAGTGGGGGCGAAGAAATAAGAAGAAAATAAATTCAAAAATGTTCAAATACAAAGTTCAAATACGAATAAGATTGTTAAAATACAAAATACATTATAAATTACAATACAAGATTTATGATGAACTACGTGATAATACTCATCTACGCTCTCTCATATTTTGAAATCGTTGTAGAACTGCTTCATTTGAAACTTGATCAAAAATATCTTTTTCAACATACGGCACTAAGCAATCATTTAATAAATCATCGCCCGACACGCTAGTTAAATGGTGTAAGGAATGGTTACGAAAGGATTGGACAGTCATCATCGACTATGTCCCCCGTGAGAAAAATGGCGTTGCGGATTGGTTGGCTAAGGAAGCTTCGAGACGAAAATGTGAGTGGGTGGACTTCCACTGCCCACCGAGGGAAGTTTGTGATATGATGAGCATGGATACTGTGTCTCATGTGCTGGGCCACTAGGTGTTAGATTAGCAGGGTTACCCCCTCCCTTTTCATCCCAAAAAAAAAATAAATAAATAAATCATCGCCCATTCGGTTGCGTAAAGATGTCTTGATTAACTTTATAGCAGAAAATGCTCTTTCCACACTAGCAGTTGCAACCGGTATGATCAAAGACAACTTTAGAAGCAAATACACCATCGTATAGTCCAAATGTCTTTCCGTTTCCACCATTTTTTTTAGCTAAGTCATCAATACCATCCAATTTAGAGAAAGCAGGATCAGAAGTTACATCAACAAAATAAGTCTGTAGTTGGTTATCTAGTAATTGAAGTTCAATATCAGAAAAATCATTTGGATAAAATTGTGCCAATCGAACTAATTTATCCTTATCAAACCTAGCAAATGAATTCTTTGGATCAAAACATGACACGCATAAGAGCAACTTTGTATTCTTCTCATTGAAACGGTTGTTTAACTCCTGGAGTTGTAGATCTAAAACAGCATAAAACCTTTCAACACGGTACCTATGAAGATGAGTCCTTTCTTCAGCTTTACGGCGAGGTCTTCCTGGAACTACATAAACTTCATCCAAATTAGGTATGGGAATTGAATGATTGTTGTAAAAGAGTGAAACTTGTTGTAAAAGAGCTTCCCACCCATCATCTCTCATCATTTGCAATCTTGTTTTTTAGACATCAACTAGTCTCATGGCATTCACAATGTTTTGATCTTTCTTTTGTAGTGCCTGTGACAAATCATTGGTAATTCCTAAAACATCCATCATTAAATGCAACAAGAACACAAAATCAAAACATAAGATATTCTTCAATACTCTAAATGCTTATGTCCTTTGTTTTGGATCCTGCCGTATTTCATCAAGAACATCAATCACTGGAGAAAATAATGTGATAATGCTCATCAGTGCACCGTAATGGGATCCCCAACGTGTATCACCAGGACGTTTTAAAACTGTTTCTTGATTCAAACCAGTTCCTGTTTCAATTGTATCATCAGAAATTGAGTCAATCAACATCTTTAATTGTTTGTCCCGTAAGCTATCCATGCGCTTACATGAAGCACAAACAATATTGCACAATTGCGAGACAGTGTAAAAAAAATCTCCAACTTCTTCATTTTCCTTTGCAACACCCACAAGTGCTAGTTGTAATTGATGAGTGAAACAATGAACATAAAAAACACTTGGGTTCTCATTCATAATCAAAGTCTTAAGACCATTGAACTCACCTCGCATATTACTTGCTCCATCATAGCCCTGACCTCTTATTCTTGCAATGCTTAATATATGCCTTGTTAGAAGATCTTCAATGGCTACTTTAAGAGACATAGAAGTAGTGTCACAAACATGAGTAATGACAAGAAGACGCTCAACAATATGCCCACTTGAATCCACATACCTAATAAACACAATCATCTGCTCCTTAACTGATATATCTCTCGACTCATCAACTATTATTCCAAATAATTCTTCACCAAGATCATTGATTATTTTTTGGGTTACCTCACTTGCAATTGCATTAGCTATATCTTTTTGAATGTAAGGGCAGTCATTTGGTGATTTTCAAGTGCATTTTGCAACACAACTTTGGCAATATTTTCATTATTATTAGCAAGTAACTTTAAGCTATCAAGAAAGTGTCCTCGATTAAGTGAGTCATAGATTTCATCATGTCCACGAAAAGCAAGTCCTTGCCTTAAAAGATACCGGATGATTTCAACTGATGAAGTCAATCGAACACGATAGTCTTGTTTCGATTGCTCCGACTGTTTTGATACACAAACTTGTATGTGTTGCTCTTGAGTCATTAAGTCTCGACAAGCTTGTACGTTCCTTGCGTGAACACTATTATGATTACCAACATGTGCACGCAACCTTTCCGGCCCTTTTTTCCAATTGTTGAATCCTTCTGTTACAAATGACTCTCCTCCTGCTTGTTGTCCGCTGCTTCCATCTTTGAATAGATAACAACATAAACAATATGTTGCATCTTCTGATACACTATACTCCAACCAATTACTATGATCTTTAAACCATTTAGGATTAAACCTCCTATTGACACCGGTAATCACTCTAGTAGGAAAAACATGATTTTTTGGTTGACATGGACCCATTTGTAGATATCTTCTTCGCACAATATCCCTATCATTGATATGATATTCATAAATGCTTTTCCTTTTAGCCAGATCAACTTCAAGTTCATCTATATTAACTTCAATACGCGGCCTTATACTTGACAATTCGTGACTACCGTGACTAGATGAATCCTCAAAAGTTGATTTTCTTTTCAAGAATTTTTCCATAACTGAACCAACATAATTAAGTAATTAAATTAACATAAGTAAATTAACTAGGATAATCCATGACATTAAATTAACATAAGTCATTTCCATGATAGCAAGGCTTTGAATCTTAATAACATAAACAAACTAGTAATTAACAGATTAAGTAGTTAAATTAAGTAATTAAATTAACATAAATAAATTAACTAGGATAATCCATGACACTAAATTAACATAAGTAATTTCCATGGCAGTAAAACTTTGAATCTTAATAACATAAGCAAACTAATAATTAACAGATTAAGTAGTTAAATTAAGTAATTAAATTAACATAAGTAAATTAACTAGGATAATCCATGACAATAAATTAACATAAGTAATTTCCATGACAGCAAGGCTTTGAATCTTAATAACATAAGCAATAAAGCAAACTAGTAATTAACAGATTAAGTAATTAGTAATTAACTAGGATAATCCACACTTAATAAATAGTAAATTAGTAACTAATAGATTATCAATTGAATACCTGGCTACCTCCAGAGTCGATTGCAGCAGCTTCCGCCTTCCAAGTTCCACCAATTTGACAATTCACCAAACATTACATAAGTAGACTGTAGACATCAAAGATTCAAAGCCTTAACCTGATTCTGAATTAGGGTAATTTCAAATTAGGGAAATAAGAATTAGGGCAAACAAAAAATTATGGCAATTAGGCAAACAATCGAATAAATTTTTGAAATTAATATTTATAGTTCAAGCTTCAATGGGGGAGATTGTGAGAAGTTGATGTTGGTGTCAAGGTCGAAGAATGAAGAAAAGTAGAAATTAGAAAACCAATTAAAGGATTAACCAAACCTTAGCAAATCGCGACGCGGTCGGAGGCGATGGATCGGCAAGCGGCAGCCGGCAGGGGCGACACTGCGGCAAGAGTGTACTGTGTATGGAATATGGAGGCGGTGCCCTTGTCGGTGTTCGCAAATCGCAAGAGAATCGCAGAGGAGAGAGGACGTCTTCGGACTTCGGTGTTCGCAAATCGTAATTGCAGAGAAGATGCGGCTTACGGGCTTAGTCTGTAGAAAGAGTGGAGAACAAATGAAAAATAATATATATATATATATATATATATATATATATATATATATATATATATATATATATATATATATCAGCCCCAAAACAACGTCGTTTTGGGGCTGAGTAATTTTGGTCAGTGGGGGCAGCTGCCCCCATGTTCCCTCCGCCCTTGCACATACACATACACATACATATAGAGTTAAACTCATGCACTTTAAACTAAAAAGTGATGCACTGTAAGCTTTAAACTTGTGCACATAGAGTCTGGAAGTTGTTATTCGTAATCCTTAATATTATATGTTCAGAAACTTGTTTTTCCTTGAGGTACGTATTGTTGTGACTTTGAGTATTTGAATGTAATTAAAAAAACTCCATAAAGCATAATGAATATTGGTTAAAGGATTTAAATATATGAGCACGATTACAATTTACAATTAAGAAAGATCAAAATTGAATGTAAAGAACATACCTTGATCGAATTTTTTCACTGCAGAGCAATCGTCAATAAAGAAACCAATTTTGCCTAATTTTTACGTATAGAGAAAAAGAAAAGAGTTCTGAAAATGTAACAGTAGAGATTAGGAAACAGAGATGCGAAGAAGATATTGTCAAAGGTGGTTAACAAAATCGGTTATAGATATTACCAAAAAAAACAAAAAAAAAAACAAAAAAAAAACAAAAAAACAAAAAAACAAAACAAAAACAAAACAAAAAAAGTCTCCTAATTAGCATTATACGTTAAAGAAGACGCTCATATTTGGTCCGTTTGATCAACCCCTATCAATGACTTTGATTTAACCCTTTTTTTTATAGGAGCAACACTTTGCATGGGAGTAGTCCACACACACACACACACACACACACACACACACACACACACACATATATATAGAAGAAATTTCAAATTGGGCGGGATCTTCCCGTGCGGCGGAATTTCAGAATACACCAACAGTTTTAACAACATGCACCAACATTGTAAGGGAAACACACCACATTGAAATGCAAAAAAAAACACCAAAAAATACACAACATACACAAAAAAAAATACATCATGTAACTCACCACACTCCAATGGTGTATTTCTGAACACTGTATGATGTTTTTACTCACACCTAATGGTGTGTTTTTGGCGATGCGTACCTAATTTTTGTATGGTGCATTTTCCTAACGTTGATGGTGTATATTTGTTGAACTATTTTTGGTGATGCCGCACCGCCGCACCTGAACTCGCATATGTAAGTGCACAAATTTACAATTTAAGGTGTATAAATTTCAACCTAAATTTGCATAGAGTTCAAACTTAGCGCACATTGCTCTGCACCTTAAAGTGCCCCAAATTTACAACTTAATATGCATAGATTTGAAAAGTAAATTGCATAAACTTAAAGTTGAGTACAAGCACTGAAGCACTTAAGACTAAAAATATCACATAGAACATAATGAATTAAGCATACGAACACAAAAAAATATGCAATTAACTAACTCCAGATGCTACTAGTACTAACAAAGTGATTGATCACAATAACACAATCACAAAAACATCTAGAAATTAGTAAAATCATAAACAAAAAAAAACACCTAGAAACTACAATCATGCAATCATTTTCTTAACCATAATACATTATTTGATGATTAGGTGAAATTTACCTTGTTGCAGCCGTTGGGGTACATTTTCTTCAGAAGCCATTAATCCTCTGTACTACTCTATGCCAAAGGCATTAACGTTGTTCTCGCTTGTGAGTGATAAGAGATGGAAAAGATGTAAAGACAACAACCAGCAATGGAGGAGATCACTTCGCCTGACGTATTTACCTTCTTCTCGCCTACGGGATGCAGTTGATTACAAATGGTTTGAAGACACACACAGAGCATGAAACAATAGAGATTAAGAGGGAAAAGACGACATAGTGGAGAAGATTTCTAAGTTCTTCTTTGATTATTATTTTTCTTTTTTACTTTTATACCCCTTAGTAATATGTGAACTACCTTTGAATCAACTACCTCTCCAAATTCACAATCAACGGCTGAGATTCGTTGATGAACATTGAATAAAGGGCTGGGATTAAACCCCATGTTTCACTTGGGACATATCATCGCACCTGATATCCTGTGTGTGTGTGTGTGTGTGTGTGTGTGTGTGTGCGTGCCAGGATCAAGTTCAAAGAGATGATCTGATAAAACATGCGAATAAATATGAGTTGTTGATCTGTCCAGATCAATGAATCTAAAAAAATAGAGTAAAAGACATTTTTAGTCCTAGACTTATGGTGGCTCGGACAGTTTTGGTCCTTAATAAAAAAAAAAATCAGACAATTTGTGGACACTCTTATTGTGACGAAGACAATTTTGGTCCTTCGTCACTTATCTCGTTAGTTGACTGTCTAAATGAGGGGCATTTCTGTCAATTCAACTTATTCTTTTGATCCTATAACAAAAACGACGCTGTTTTGCCGAAGGTGACAAAAACAATGAACAATTTCGTCTTCCTCCAGATTCACGCACGCTGAACACAATACAATGGTAGTTTCTCAAATTCAAGCTGCTACCAAAACCCTCCAGATTCACCTTCCTCATCCATAATCCCCACCCAAATTCTTTCAATCAAAGATTTCAATGCATCAATTTCACCTTCCTCCATATTCACGCACGCTCTGACGATTTGCGAGAAAACTAGCGATTTTGACTTCGCCAAATTTTACCGCAAAATTCCGGCGCCGACATCAATCATGGAGAGGGGTCAGATGATAATCACAATCGACCCTCTAAAATTCGGACGAGTGCGACGAATCGTGGAAACCCTAGTTCTTCGTCTCTCGCCCCCCGGCCGACAATCACACCCGCTGCGTCTTTTGCTATTTTGATCGCTCCGTCGTCAATGGAGCCTCTACATGGGCGATCGGAGGTCTTGGCTGGTGTTGGGACGGTGTCCAGATTAATCCCCTTTGTTCAGATTTGCGATCGGAGTCGAAGAAGAGAGTCTTCTGCAGCAAAACAGAGTCGAACCCAAACCCAACAATTCTTGTTTTGTTTTTTATTAGGGTTGCATATTCTCTCAATCTGTGATCTGGGTGTTTGGATTTCATTTGCTTTGATTATGAAGTTTTGTTCTTGAAACTCCAGTATTTGATTCAGGGTGGGTTTCCAATTGTGGGCCTTTTAGATATTTAGGAAAATTAACCAAACAAGGAAGAATCATTTTCCAATTAGGTACAGCTTTTAGATGTTTCAAAAACTGAGCAAAAAGGGAAGAATCTTTGAAGTTATTTGCCAAACAAAAATACAGAAAGGAATAGTCTTTTGAAATATTTTCCAGATATCATCGTACCTTATGGTTTCTTAAAGCAGAAAGGCTTGCTTTCACTGCATTTATCTTTGTTATGTGGATGGTTGTGTGTTGAAATTTTCATATGTGGAGAGGGGCATCTCTTTTCATATATCATAAACTGCTTTGAATATTCACTGTCCTTACTAATCAAGGAATTGGGTTTGTTCAGGCAGTTGGAACCTTGTTAGGAGCAATGACTGGAGCTCTGATAGGGCAAGAGACGAAGAACGGCTTAATTAGAGGCGCTGCAGTTGGCACTGTCTCCGGAGTTGTTTTCTCTCTCGAGGTCTTCGAATCATCGCGGCTGTTGTGGCAGTCAGATGAATCCGGGATCGAGTGTCTCCTGTATTTGGTAAGCAAACACGACCTTTTAGTTCTGCGTTGTGATCACTGGCCACTAGTGTGATATTAAGTGGCTTGTGTATGTTGTGGATCAATGTCTAAAATGTACTCCTATGTAATGCTAATTTGAGCAAACTTTGCATCTGTTTGTTGCGTTTCAGTGCGGTTGGTTAGATTTATTCCAAGTCATTGGATGATTTGAAACTATACAGATTGATGTGATTGCAAGCCTGTTAAGCGGTAGACTTGTTCGTGAGAACATGAAGCTGACTCTATACTGCACTCAGCATTGCAGGACCATAGCAGATATAATGAGATATAATGAAATGACGCAAATACCCTCATCTCAAATGGCCATCTAACGGGAATGCTGATGGAGGACCAAAATTGTCCTCGTCACAATAAGTGTGTCCATAAATTGTCTAAATTTTTTATAGAGGACTAAAATTGTCATTGCCACCATAAGTCTAGGACCAAAAATGTCTTTTACTCAAAAAAATAATTTTACGCTTCTAATCTACTGTCTTTGCATTCTGTTCAAATCCTGGAAGGCACAAAATGTGCATTCATCTTCACAAGATTAGTAAACCCATATCTTGAACCTGTCACTTTCCCACAGGATTATTAAACTCGTTTCTTGAACCCATCACTTTCCTTCTCTCTTTCACGGGACTTAACAACGAGTCTGTTGAACTTATTAAACCAACCTGTTAACAATGTGCACTGGAAAACACAACAATATGCACTATAAGCACTCAATAGCAAAAAAATAATGCACCCATAGACAAAAAGAGAGTAAATGTCATCTAAGGTTCTCCGAGTTTAGTGGTTTCGCCACGTTTAGTCCTAAACTTTCAAATTGACCACCCGTGGTGTGACACCCCGAAAATCTGACTCCTTAAGTAGGATTAATTGAGGAATTAATCCTAAAATCCTTGGTGAATTCCTTTCCAAAATCCTGAGATTTAATAGTCGAGTCACTAGAAGTTGACTAATTCCTTAGTCAACCATGAGTACCTTTTGTTTTGTGCTTTGTACCTAGCCTTTTGTCTTCCTAGCCTTTTAGTAAGGGTAAACTTGTGCTTTCACACATGATTGGTGTTCAAGCTTGCCCTAGCAAGACACATTTCATTCATCCTCTTACTAGCCAATATCCTAAACTCTCTACCTTCTCTCTAAGAAAAGTTGGCTTATCCTCCAAGCTAAAAGAAGAACACCCCATCCTTGCAAAGAATCATCCCAAGACTCCACCTTTCCATCTCCCAAGCTTAGGAAAGGGTAATATCTAAGGTTGTTTAGTGTTTTAGTTAGCTTTGCTGAGTCTTTATCTAAGTTTTTGTGTTTTCTTGTAGTTTTGGGTTGTGTAAGAAGTCTTGGTTGAAGGGGAGCTTCAAGGAGAATCTTAGAATGGTAGAAATGAATAGTTTCTTGGTCTACAAAGGTAACTCATGCTATACAAAACTTATTTTCTACTTGTTATTGATGAATCTTGACTTCTATTTATGATTCTTGGTGTAAATGTGAGATTTGATGCATGATCTTGTGATAGTGCATGTTTAGAGCTTGTATCTAGGTTTCTTGAATGCTATTCTTTGATCTATTCTTGGGTTCAAGTCATTTCCTTGTTGTATGTGAGATTTGGGGTGTGTTGGACTTGAACTTGACCTTGGAGATGAAATTCCCCGAAGGGAATTATTTGTGAGTCGGGATGTTCCCCGCGGGCGGAACGGCGGGCAGATGTCCACCCGCCAAGCTTTGTACCTGGCGGGTAGGACCACGGGTAGGTACCCACCCGTGGTTCCACCTGCGGGGTACATTGATGGTGGCTTGTCGGGTGTTGTTTTCCCGTGGTTCCATCCTTTGGTATGTGATGTTTTGACATCCTTTTGTTGGATTGTTGAGCTTTTGGGTGTCTTATTGATGTTTCGTATGTCTAGAACGATGTCCTAAGTATCCATGTTAGGATTTGGTGTCTTGAATCGTGCTAATGGTCCAACTTTGTGATTCGTTGGATTAATGTGAGTCTTGGAGGTTCGTTGGAACCGTTTTGGTTTATCCGTTTGATGAGCATGCTACATATGATGTCGTTGATGCTAGTATCTGTTGTTTTTCCTTCCTATTGAGGATTGGTAACTTGTGTTACCAATCATGTTGTTATTGGATTGAAGTCCATTGTTGTTGTTGAGTATCGTTTCATGTCTTCCATTGAAACCTCTTGATTGAATTCTATGATGTGATCTTGTACAAATGTTGTACTTTATTGATTATTCCGTGGATAAGCTATTGTTGAGCTTATCCGTTGTTGTACACACCTTGTGTGGAATCTATGCTTTGTTGTATCTCTAGATTCCGTGTGTATTGACTCTTGTTGAGATGTTGGAATGGATGTGATGAGATATTGAGCTGGTAAAGTGGACAGTGTGGGGACTTATGTGTGAACTGATCCAGTAGTGGGTTTAAAGCTCCGGATTGCCGTGTGGATACTTATGATTTGTGGGCAACTTGGGAAACTCATTCCAGTTGCCAGAGATAGTAGCTAACCCATTGAGCTTGGAATCTCAATAGGAGGTGTATACACTCAAAGTTGCTAGATCTGTTTCCATTGAGCTGCGATCCTAGTCATTGCGATGACTCTATGGTATGTGATTGATGAGTTGGAGTCCTCCACACTGGTCCACTATGATTCGGGTCGTTTAGATGAATCTATGATGAATGCTTCGGTTTGACTATGTCCTATGTGGGCTTGGAACATGTTGTGAGTATGAATCTCGCCTTATGGCTTATGAGCATGTCTATGATGAACTCTACCTTGAGTATGGTAGGTTGCATCTAGTGTTGAGTATGTTGCTTGTTGTCCTTGTTGACTTGCTGAGTTGGTTCTCTTTGGTCTTTGTTGAGAGTATTGATGAGCCTATTGATGTTCCCTCTCTTGGTTTTAAAATGATATATTTATATTCCTCTGTCCCAAATGGTTTTGCTTATATCTATATATTATGATACTTAACGCATATTGGTGGGTTACCAGCATCTTTCGCTGACGGGTGTTATCCCTATCTCTTTACAGGTTTTGAGTAGCTTTGGAGAGCGCGTTAGTGGACCGTAGTTAGCTTAGTTCTCCTTTGTTCTAGTTGTTTGTGGCCTACGAGCCGAGTTAGTTTAACCGTTAGCTGTCGTGGTTTGTTAGTAGCTTGCCTGTGTACCTATGTTTGAGATAGGTGTGGCATAGCACCTCCGTGTTTAGACTTTGCTTCTGTTGCTTTAATGAATGTTTAGCTTGATCGTTCTGTTAGTTAAGCTTTTAAGTTTTGGTAAAATCGGGGGTGTTACACGTGGTCTCCGAGTTTCGAATTTCGACCTACCGTATGTCGTTTGCGCCGTGAAAAGTAAGGGCAAAACAGTCTTTTTATTTTAACCCCAGCCAAAACAACTCATTTCTCTCAACAATTAGCCCTAATCTCTGAATCATACTTCTTCAGATTGAAATTGCGGTTTTGGCTCGGCAAGGAACGATGTTTGCATAATTGAAAATTATTGGAGAAGAAGTACAATTATTAGTTAAGAAAAGTAAATAATATAATAGAGGGTAAAGTATGAAAAATAATAAAAATTTCTAAAATCAAAATAGTATAAACCATTCATTTCATCAAATAATTACACCAACATTTTTTGTTCCTATTAGGGGCCTAACTTTATTGACTCTTATTAAATTTGTAGATATATGAATTATGAAGTGGGTGCATAATATGTTCACTATAGACGCATAATATGAATGTCATTTTGGATCAGGGTCCACAATGCAAGGTAGGGCAAATTATTGTGTGGACTGTACACAGTTGTGTGGACCATGAATATAAAGTACATTTTTAATATAGCAGAGTACATTATTTGTGTATTGAATGTACATTATTTGATACGGAGTAGTATATAAATAATATACTTTCAGTACTCAAACAATACACTTTCAAATAATGTACTTTACTTTTAGTATATTAAAGAGTTAATTCTATTTTTGGTCCTAGATTTATAGGTCACAGTCCACTTTTAGTCTCTTTTTTTATTATCAAAATATCAACTTTTGGTCCTAGTATTATTGTGACATAACCAATGTTGGTCCTCTATCAATAAAACCGTTTAAAATATTTTGGTCCTAAATATTTACAGGTACCACTAATATTTAATTATAAAAATTATTATATTTAAAAAAAAAAAAAAAAAAAAAAAAAAACAGGGCATCAGTAAATCACCTAATGATTATGATGCGTTTCAAATCTAAAGGAAAGAAGTGTCCTAACCGAAATGCCATCCTGTTTAATTAGATGTATTAATCCAAAAGCAATACCATTCACAAGGGTTGGTGAATAGTGATAATACCAAGTTATGGAGATGAAATGATCACCGAAACAGATTAAGTGATTCATTATAAGATATGAAGGCATCATGCATATACTTTCATAAATTCCGTGTTCTTATGAAATGCAGGCAATACATTTTACAGAGAGTTCATGCTCATAAACAACTAATATGGAATTATGGATGGTACATATTTTGTGAAGTTAAAAAGGTTTCATGCTCATACATTTTACACTCAACTTGTCACACCAACATCTAGGACTCTGGAGATAACTATTATCTTCCTACCTCCTAAAGGCATTGCGTTCGGTTGCTTCTGATCTCCCCTGCAAATAATGCGTTCGGCGCCGCACACTCTCTTCTATGGTGGTGCTTCCTCCCTTCTCAGCCCCATATATGCTTCTATGAGCAGCATCCAGGAAATTTCTTCCACCGGTTGAGTGAGCACCAACAGCTTCCTTCGCGTCATTTTCATCCGCCTTCTTTAGCCTTTTCCATCTTTGCTCCTCGTGCAGCTCAGCATCTAGCTGCATCTCCCGCAGCCTGGCAGCTCTCTCTTCTTCAGAAAGTCTAACCGGATTCCTGCGTTTGTTTGCTTCACGCTTTGGTGAAGCGTCTCTCCGTGTAAAGTCTCTATGTTCTCTCTCCCTTGCATCACCAGATTCTCTCTGCCCGTAATTATTACTATCATGTTTGCTCTTACGTCTATAATCACCACCACGCTCTCCGTCAGATTTCAAATCTGACCCTCTAGTCTGCATATCTTTGTGTTTTCGGTCCCTATGTCGATCTCTCTTCCCTCGGTAATCCCCTTCACTTGAATCTTTATCTGACTCTCTAGTCTGCATATCTTTGTGGTTTCGGTCCCTATGTCGATCTCTCTTCCCTCGGTAATCCCCTTCACTTGAATCTTTATCTGACTCTCTAGTCTGCATATCTTTGTGTTTTCGATCCCCATGTCTATCTCTCTTCCCTTGTTCTTCCCCATCACTTGAATCTTCATCTGAACTTGAACTACGGCGCTTTGACTTTTTGTGATGCTTAGACTTCTTATGATGATGCTTCTTTCTGAGCTTCTCCCCGTCTTTTTCATCATGACTCTTATCCTTTTGCTTCATTGCTTCAACCTGAAACAAGGATTAAAAGTGAGACAGTTCACTAAAGCGTGCATGCCAGTAAAATCACAAAAAGGCAAACTCTATGATAATGCAAGATTGCACCTAATACATACATCATATAGGATTAAGTAGGATAAGGAAGTATAATAATCCTGCTGTATAAGTATAACATCATTGCATCTTGGATAAGAGTTCCAAATAAGATGTATTTCCTTCACATCCAATAAAACCCAAAAGGATAGACAAGGCTTTCAAATTATATATTATTAAGGATTCAAGTTTTGAATTAGCAATGTGGCCGTTTTTAAAATGTCTCCTACAGTTCCATTTCCTATTTCAGTTGAGGTAATTAGCAGCACTGTACCATATTATCTTTTTGAAAGCACTACTCCTCCCCAAAAAACATGCATGGTTCAAGGGGTGGATTCATAGGCAATGTAATTACACTACCGAGTACCCAAATCTACAGATACTCAAAGTCAACAAGTAATGGAACACATATCTACGTCCCTCGTTACCCTTAAGGTAACCCAAGTAGAAAGTTAGAGCACCATATAAGAACTAGCACTCATTCCATCACCCCAATCAAAACCAAGCAACTTCAAAAATAAAATAAATGGCCACATTGATAACTCAACAAAGCCCATCCAAGGCCAAGATACCAAAATTTAGTAGTGCCCTTGCCATTCTCATTACTTCAAATAGCAAACCAAAAATAAGCAGCAGCATACTTTCAATTTCCTCAACCTTTTCATAAGCATAGGGTGAAGGCAAACCCTTATAATTTCCAGTATGTCAAAGATACCCAAATTTAAACAATATAAAAAGGGCGAGCATCAAATTCTAGTTTTTTTAGTTCTACACAAAAGAATAAGTTCCTATACTAATTAATATAAACAATTTAAAGTATCTTAACATAAAAAACTTACAGATTTCTTAATCATGGCCATCTGTACTGGATTGTTCTTCACACGAGCTAAAGCATCTTGCTCCCGTTGACGAATTAATAGCAAAGGATCTGAATGGAGTTTCCTCCAAGCATCATTGGCAGATTGTGGTTTATCTTCAAATAAGGCACCAGGCGTCGCTGATTGTGGCTGCTGAAACAAATATAAGCTAACTTAAAAAGTGTAAAACAACCAATTTTCCACATTTCAAAAACTAGAACGCTTATTCTGCTTCAAGATTATTTAAGCCTTCAGAACAACAATACAGAAATACATTTTTTACACACTTGAAAGAAAAACTTTACCTTGGAAGCAGAAGAAGAGGCAGGTGTTGAATCAGGAGGATCGGTCTTGGTGGGCAAGGATTCAAGAGCCTTAAACCCACTACTCTTTCCCACAGCTAATCCAGAATCATACAAAAATTCCAATCTCTCTTGCCTCCTGTGAAAATTCAAAAACAAGCCTAAGCGAAGGGAAAAAACAAAATTTATAATTCAAAAAAAAAAAAAAAACTTACGGAACGAGTCCGGCTTGTTCCTGGAGTTCTCGAAACTCGGCGCGTTCTCTTTCCTCCTGGATCTGCTTGCGGAGCTCCTCCAACTTCTTCTGTTCCGCATCATGTTTCTGCTCGGCCTTCCATACGTTCTCGATATTCCGAAGGCTCCCCGTGTGCCATCCCTTCTTGTTCAGAAATTTCAACGCCATCGGAGGGGTTTTCGATCTAGTCTTCCCTTAATTGGACGGTAGAAGTCGGAGCAGTGAGTATCCGCGGCGGTGGCCTCGTGTCTCCGCCTCTATCCCTTTCGTTATCTGTCTGTGTATGAGAGACTCTTCTGGTCTGCGTCCGATTTGCAGAATGATGATATATTACAACCACCTCCCTAATCCCTATACTTTACAGATATTACAAACACATCCTCTTTTCCCATTCCAACCGGATTTCGAATTTCATTTTGTCCCCCCAACTCTTAATTTGTTTTTAAATATCGGATTTTAAAATTCGGAGTTGGGCTATCCAAACTCAGATTTCCATTTATATTCGGATATTATTAAAGTAATTTAAAATAATTTTTAAAACAAATTTTTAAGAAAAAAGTTTGTAAAAAGTTAAAAACTGGGTCAAAAGACTACTATACAAATACTATAATAAACTAATAATAAATAACTAATAAAGCTATCCAGCTACATGCCTATACAATCGTTATATTGTGCACTAGGGTCCACATAGCAATGTGCGTCCCGCGCCTCTCAAAACGACGTCGTTTTGTTGATTTCAAGTATAAAATTCCCGCACCTCCCAACAAAGTGACTGGCGACAGTCGCATGTCACGAAGAAGGAGACCAAGGTCGCCTTCTCTGTAGAGAAGGCGACCACACCGGCGACCGTCCGTCTGTCACTTTGTTGCCTGAAATTTCGTCGGAATTTTGTCGACGGATTGCCGGAACCCTAATGACCTGTGTTAGCAGGTTAATTAATTGGTTTTTGGACTTTATTGCATCAAAATAAATTGTTGATGAGTGTAATTACATCTTTAAAATGTTTTGCGGGCTAATTGACTTTTTAGCTAAAAGTTCGAGGGTCTATTTCACCATTTTTCCTTATCTCTTATTACACATTCAGGTTTCAAGAAAACGGTCCAAAAGTGAAAAGTGGAAAAAAAGTGACCACCGTGCCTTTTCTTTGAACTCCCTCTTGTCCTGTTGACAAGGTTTCTCCCTCTTGTCCTGTTGACAAGTTTCTCTTCCTCTATGGTTTTGTCGTTATTGCGATTGTTTGCATTTATCCTTCATCGTATGGTGTTGTTGTATGTCTCCACTGTTTGTTAATGAAGCAGTAGGGGTTGGTGAGGCTCTATGCCAGGCAGTTATTGCATGGAGTAAATGATGAAAAGAAGTACCCTCTTAGTACCTCAAGTTGCCCAAGGTCGCTTTTACTTGAGATTTAAAGCAGTGACAATTCTCAGTGATCTCCCCACCTGCTACTCTCGTGTCCTCTTGTCTTCCTTGCATTTCCTCTCTGCTTTCACAACTATGGCATCAACCAGTAAGGGAAAAGAACTGTTGGAAGAACAATACGCTGCTCTGAACATTCATGCTGATGATGATGAGATCGAGATTCAACTGGACGAAGGTGTGCTAAACCCTATAGGGGAGGAAGAAGTCTTCACCCTTGTCGGAATGGTCCTCACCGACAAACCCGTGAAATTCAACTACATGAAAGACATCCTTGCGGTTGTATGGCGATCGATAAAGGGCATGCTTGCGAAAGAGGTATCTCCAAATCTGTTTGTCTTTTATTTCTTCCACCTGAAGGACATGAAAAGGGTTCTGAATGACAGTCCATGGTCATATGATCAAAGTTTACTCATTCTCAAAGAGCTTGGGAGTAACACATCCCCGTACGACGTGAAGCTGGACAGAGCCGAGTTTTGGGTCCAGATCCATAAGATACCCCGGGCTCTTGCCAACCCGAAAATAGCTGAGATCATTGGAGCAACTCTGGGAACTTTTTTGAAGGCAGATTTCTCAAATTTTGATGGCACTTGGAACGCTTTTCTTCGTATAAGGGCATCCATTGAGGTTAACAAACCTCTGAGAAGAGGTGTGAGGATCAAGCAGCCTAATGGTGAGTCTATCTGGTTGGAATGCAAATACGAGAGGTTGCCCACTTTTTGTTTCATATGCGGCAGACTGGGGCACGCTGAAAAATATTGCCCACACCAGCTTGCAATCGATGAAGATAGCTTTGTGAAACTGTATGGCCCGGAGTTGAGAGTAGCGCGACGGAGCAACACCATTGAAGCCAGCAGATGGATGCGCTCGGAACTGCCCTTTCAGTTTGGACAGGTGTCGGAGAATGTCGCCGGAGATGCAAACCACCAGGAGAACATGGGCGGAATCCCGAGGTACGAGGAAGATGGAAGGCAATCGGTTCATAGCTCAGTGTTTTACTCTTCGGTTATTGACCAGGAGGCAAGAGGCGTTTCCATCCAGAACTCAGAGGCATTTAATTCGCGTGCTGACACTCTTAATGGCACATGCGACAAAAACATTTCAAATGTTCCACCGCATGTTTCTATTATGGACCTCCTAATGGCTGATCCGAATAGAAAGAGAAGGGCCCAAGATATAAGTGGGCCGAGTGAGGTCAACCAGTAGGCTGTTGAGCCCATGACTGTGGAAGAGGAAGGATGCAATGTTAGATCAAAGCACTTTTTTAGAGGTGGGCTCTGCTGGGCAGGCCCGCCTACATCAATGAGTTTCTTAGCCTGGAACTGTCGTGGGCTTGGCAACCCAGAGACAGTTCAAGTGTTAGTGGACTTGATCCACTCTAAGAGGCCAACGGTTGTTTTTCTCATCGAAACGCTATCTAACTTATCAAATTTGCAAGGTATTAAAAATAATTTGGGCTTTCTAGGCTTGTTCATGGTGGATAGTTTGGGCCGTAGCGGAGGTTTAGCTCTTTTATGGAAGGAGGAGTCCGAAGTTAGCATAAGGGGCTTTTCCAGATACCACATTGATGCTTCGATTACTTTGGCAAACAATCCTGAACCTTGGAGGTTCACAGGTTTCTACGGGAATCTGAAGAGGAATCGACGGCGAGAATCTTGGAGCCATCTCTGTCAGTTGGCATCGTTGAGCACACTACCTTGGGCGATAATGGGGGACTTTAACGACATCCGCAATCCCTCAGAGAAGATTGGTAATCACCCGCATCCTCAGTGGCTATTCAGAGGTTTCAACGATGCAATTGAGAGCAGTGGTCTGAGAGATTTGGAGTTTGATGGATGCCAATTTACATGGGAGAAGTCTAGGGGCACTCCATATTGGATCCGAGAAAAACTTGACAGAATTTTGATCAACGATGCATGGGCTCAGAGATTTGGGAATGCTACTGCTCGGGCAATTACAGTCCCTACAACTACAAGTGACCATCTGCCACTGTTTATGTGTACCATTCCTTCGATTCATCGGCAAAAAATGAGAAATTTCAAGTTCGAAAATGCATGGATAAAAGAGAGTCATTGCAGGGAAATTGTCACTAATTGTTGGGAGCAGTCCTCCGGCTATCACGTTCTAATACGTCTTGACAAGTGCAGCAAGGCTATCTGGGATTGGGGGAGAAGGAGAAACACAAACTTTCAACCGAGGATTGATGGCTGGGCATCTCGGATGGATTCTCTCCGTAGCAGAACTGATCCGCAGGGACTGGCAGCCTACGCCGATGCTCAGAAAAATTATTTGGACCTGTTGAATCAACAAAATATTTTCTGGAGACAAAGAGCTAAGGTCCACTGGTTCAGGGACGGTGATATTAACTCAAAATTTTTTCACATGTCCTGTCAACGACGAAGGAGTAATAATCACATTGCAAAGCTTATGGATGGCAATGGAGTTTGGTGTGAAGAGGGTACTGACCTTGATAATCTTATGTTGGATTATTTTAACCACTTGTTTACTTCTTCCCAGGGTAATATGGAACCAGTTCTGAATTGCATCTCTACCAGAATCACCGAGGCTAATAATGCAGATCTTCTAAGAAGGGCTAGTGCGGACGAGGTCAAAAGGGCAGTATTTGGAATGCATCCTGATAAATCTCCGAGCCCCGACGGTTTCAACCCAGGTTTCTACCAGGCTTATTGGGATATTCTTGGCCCAGATATTGTTAGATTATGCAATGAGTTCTTTCGCTCAGGGCAACTGCCAAGAGGTCTTAACTCTACCCAGCTTGTTCTAATCCCGAAGAAGGCCAAGCCAGTGTCCATGGGGGACTTGAGACCTATTTCCCTCTGCAACGTAGTGTATAAAATATTTGCTAAGGTCCTGGCCAACAGATTGAAACCTCTCATGAATAGTCTTGTCTCAGAGAATCAAAGCGCTTTCATTCCCGGGCGCCTAATCATGGATAACATTATGATTGCCTTCGAAGCACAACATTACTTGAAGAACAAGAGGCAAGGGGCTGATGGCTATGTTGCTTTAAAACTCGACATGAGCAAAGCATACGACCGCGTTGAGTGGGGGATATTGAGGGCTATGCTACTGAAATTTGGTTTCTGCCACAGGTGGGTGATGCTAATTATGGAATATGTATGTTCAGTGGAGTATGTCATCCAGGGGGAAGGAAGAGAGTTAGGCCCTATCATTCCTGAACGTGGGCTTAGACAAGGAGATCCCTTATCTCCCTATTTGTTTATCCTATTGGGGGAAGGTCTAAGTGCTCTTATCAGGGAGCAGGAATCGCTGGGAAACTTTCATGGTGTCAGAATTGCTCGTAACGCTCCCAGGATATCTCACCTTCTCTTCGCCGACGATAGCTATGTTTTTTTCAAGGCAAACCAGAGTCAAAGTATCATTTGCAAACACATTCTCGACACGTACTCTACTGCCACTGGTCAGCTGGTAAATTATGAAAAGTCCTCTCTGAACTTTAGCAGAAATGTGGATGTAACAATAAGGGGGGTTGTTGGTTCTATTCTGGGGGTGAGATTGGAGGGAAATGCTGGGAATTATTTAGGTTTACCTTCTCTAGTTGGGAGGAATAAAAGGGATATTTTGGGGTTTGTTAAGGGAAAAATTGTGGCTAGAATGAATTCTTGGAATCATAAGTTCCTTTCAAGGGCGGGGAGGGAGGTTCTTTTGAAGAGTGTTATTCAAGTTATACCCTCTTTTTGCCATGAATTTGTTCTTGCTTCCTCAAGGGTTGGTGAGCGAAATAGAGAGATCCATGAATGGTTTTTGGTGGGGAAAGAGTAGTGAGCAGGGCAGGGGTCTGAGATGGATGGCATGGGATAAACTCTGTGTTCCAAAAAAATGGGGGGGAATGGGCTTTCGTAGGATTAGAGATTTTAATCTTGCCATGCTCTC